TACTGACATAGCCATAAAAAAATGTTGCTTTATTTATCTGACCGTATTGGAATGTATTTGTTAGGTTTTCAGTCAATTAAATTTGGTTTAATAAACAATATGTGGTTATTTTTAAAATTTTCAATGAACATTCGATCAGTCCGGCCCTCGGCTTGCAGCAAAAATTTTTATCTGGCCCTCCGTCCATTTGACTTTGACACCCCTGTCTTAGGGGGTCTGCTGAGGGGTGGCCCAATTGGGCCGCCCAGGGGTGCGGCATGTTAATGAAGATGGGAGTGTTTTTCTGATATAATACTTGTAATTTGCATATCCAATCAATAAAAGGGCCGGCAGAGGTGGCAGAGGTCAGGTGTCAGTGAGAAGCGCACACGGAGTGGCTTCGTAGAAAACTGCACCTCCTGCCGGCAGAGAAAGACGATCTGTTCCTGTGTTCGAGCCTTTGTCGACCGTCCGAGTGAACATCTCTGACACTCTCCCATCACCTTCTGCCTTAGCTGCCTGGCTCTCATCATCCAGCATACCATCAGCCCTTGCCTGAAATTATCATCATCATCATCTAGAAAAGCCAACCTGGACAAGTGTTGAAAACTAGCATAAGTGTTGATTTATTTTCCATGTGAAATAAATAAATAAATACATATAATATCATGAGAATTAAAAAAAGAAAACCCTTAAGTGAGATGGAAAATACTAAGAGTAAAACTAACTGCTGATAACATTGTATTTCTGACCATATCCTCCACTTGTTGTGCTATCTTCAGGAATATCACATCCTTTGTAGTGTTGTCAGCATCCATGAAGTGCAGGTCCTTGAAGTGGGGATCAAGGGCTGAGGCATTGTCGAGGAAGTCTTGGATGTAGTTGTAACAGGAATTAAAGTCCTGTCTGAAATTTTCTTTCATCTTGCCAATTGCAGCGAGATCGCTGTGGTTTTCTCCAAATTCTGACCGTAGTTTGGCCAGTAGTGGGGAAACGATGGAGATAGTGGGGGTCTTTTCCTCACTGAGGAGCTTGGTTGCCAATTTCAGGGGGGACATCAGTTTCAAGATTTCTGGGATTACTTTCATCTCATCATCTGAGAGGGGAGGCAGTGGTTCTCCCCTTGGCTTAATTTTCCTTAATACTGCCGCCACAGCATCCTTCTATTCCCAGTAACGCTCCAACATATCAAGGGAACTATTCCACCTTGTGGCAACATCATGGATTAACTTGTGGTGTGCCAGACCAAAGTTGTGCTGCTAATCACGGAGAGCATTGGATGCTTTGGTACTTCTGTGAAAAAAATGTAACGACTCTCCTTATTTTCACCAGGACAGGTTTCACCTGGTCTACTGCAAATGTTTTTTGCGAGGACAAATTAAGCGTGTGTGCTATGCATCGCACATGCGGCTTCATTTCTGCGCCAGATCCCGCCAGAATCATGTTAGTGGCGTTATCCGTGACTAACGCTGGCTTCTTATCGCCAATGTTCCACTCGCGGCAAACGTCACGCAGTAACTCCGCAAGGTTTGCTCCGGTGTGCGACTCACGGAAAACTCTGGTCTGAAGAATGAAGTTTTGCATTTCCCATTCCTTGTCAACGTGGTGTGCCATCACTGTTATATATGAGTCAGTAGCGCAAGACGTCCACCCAACCACTGTAAGTGCAACTCTTTGCGCACTGTTCAACGACACAGTAGTCTCACTTCTCACTTTGTTGTACAGATCGGGAATATGTTTGTAAGTGAACACAGACCTGTCCGGTATTTTATACCTGGGTTCCAAAACGTGCACGAGCTGTCTGAAACCCTCGTTGTCCACCACGCTATAAGGCTGGAGGTCTTTGCATATGAAATAAGCAGTGGCCTTAGTTATAGCCATTGCGCGGTCACAGTGAGCTGCAAGGGGACCCCCAAAGTAAGAGGCGATTTTATTCTGATCCTGACCTGGTTTGCCAAGAGTTTCTCCGGTGTCCGACGAGGAACTGGACGGGGAGGCGGGGTATGGCCTCTTAGCGCGACATTCTTTGCAAATTACGGAGGTTTTATCAAGCTTTCCGTCTTTCTTTTCGAAGCCGTAGTATTTCCAAACGTAAGATCTGAATGTTGCGGGTGCATTAAGTATAGTAGTTTCCTCGCGGCTGCTTGCTCGAACTTCCATAGTGTTTCGGTAGTAGTGTACTGCACTGTATGTGATTCACGGCTTCCGTCCGTATTCAACACAAAACGCAAAATAATGATGGTGCATTGCCCCTAGGAAAGGACAGATAGGTGACGTTTAACATGAATAAAACAGCGGTTGCATCGGATTTTACCGATACCCACCAACGCATCGTGATGAATCTAGATTTCACCCGTGAATTGCGTCGTACCCAGTGAATGAGCCGATGCACTCGCATCGCGCACGTGCGCATCGATGCATCGATTAATATCGATTCTTTTCCACACCCTTAGTGCAGAGGTGCAGGGTTCAATTCCGGCTGCGGCCTTCCTGCGTGGAGGTTGCATGTTCTCCCCGTGCCTATGTGGCTTTTCTCCGGGTGCTCTGGTTTCCTCCCACATTCCAAAAACATTCATGGCAGGTTGATGGAACACTCTAAATTGCAACCAGTTTGAGGTGTACCCCACCTATTGCCCAAAGACCGCTGGGATAGGCTCCAGCACGCCCCGCAACTCTTGTGAGGTTAAACAGATGATAAAATTGATTGATGGATGGATGGATTAACGAATCAATATTTAGTTTTATTTAATTTTTTTAGAAAGGGAGAGTGCCTTGGCAGGTTCATATAACATCTTAAGACAAAGAAATTATTACAAATTATTACTTTAAAATTAAGTATTCTTGATATGAAAATCAAGTCGGTGTGACTTGTCCATAAAACTGTACTTTTTTGTATTCTGAAAACATGTACTGAGTGACACTAAAGCACACTTCCAAATGATCATCAGTCCTGTCATCATCAAGTTTGAATGTAAGAATCTTAATTTGGGAAAAGGTGACTCACAAAGACGTGGGGTCGAGAAATGCCATCAATAAAGTAGCACTTTTCCTTTGTAAGTTCTGTGAGCCCTGGACTTGACCTCAAAGTCATTCTTAGTTGAGAATATCAAAATTGCATGAATCACTCCAGGGGAGTTCAGATGAAACAGTGTTGCAATCGATGCAAGTAAATGACAACGTCAGTTTCTTCCTAAAGAGTTGCATGGGAATGTAGTGACCGGCTCCAATAAAGCAACGTGGATTTTAGCTTTTTCCTCCTTTCTCCGTTCCAGCTCAATTTTTGGATGGAAGTCAGCGTTGTAACTTTTATAAGTAGCCGGCAAATTCCGACCGATGTTTTCATTTCTTTACATAGCGCATGAAAATGATTTGGTTGAACCACCATCTTGCATGTGTAACAAAATCTTGTGAGACTGAAAATTAGTGATAAAAGATGAGATGGATACCGCAAATGTGAATGTGGCGTTTTAACTCCCGGTCACAGGCAGAAATCTCCACCTGAACGTTCTCTGCCGCAATTGTGGTCATCATCACAGTTAAGAGTAAACAACTCGGTGTTCTTCCAATTTTTGCTGTCCAGCAGTAAAGGTATTATGTTCAAAAGCACCACACATGACATTGGCTCACCTGTCTTCAGCTCCTTGCATTAGCTCCTGACACATGTCATCAAAGATCTTTGTTGCCTTTATTTAGTGTTGTTCAGAGTGCCTGCAGAAATGTTCAAGGCACTGACTCAATGACTCTTGAAATAAGGCCAGGGATCCAGACAAACCTTTTTTTGTAATTGGAGCACAGTGACTCTGAATCTGGCGTTTTAAAGGAGCAAATAAAAAATGTGAAATACTTGAAATATTTTTTGAGGCAGAACAAGTGATATCAACAGAAAAAATGTAAAGTGTAGACAATGCGGTGGGACAAGATTTGATCTTTTTTTTTTTTTTTAATTATTAACAGAGGTTTTAATGATGGCAACAGATGTTGAAATGCGCCAAATTTAACCATTTCAGGGACAGCGGTTACTAGAGTGGAAAGCTATTTACATCTTGCTTCTCGTATATTAATTCATCTTAATGTCACAGTTGTGCATCAAGCACTACAAGTGGACCGTTGTGTGTTGCCACCCACTGCCATTATTTTTTATCATGCCTAAAGACTAAAAAAAAAAAAAACTTGAGAAAAAAAATCCCTATTATTTGTGCATGAAAGTGTTAATATCCTGCTTCTAAAAACGAACAAATAACAGGTTGACCGGGCGCCCCTGAATGGATTGCGTCCGACCATGAGCTGTTTTGGGCAGGAGTAGGGTAGCGCTGTAGTTTAGCCACAGATGGCTACACATCTAAATCAAACAGACCAATCACCTGTTTCAGTACATCTGCATTTGTAAATTTAAACTTGCACAGGAAGTCAACAGTGTCATGAAGTCCTCCTGTAGCGGTCCAAAGTATTCAAACTTATTGCCTGTGAGCACCCTGTCACGTTATTGTTAGCAAAGTAATTAAATTTATGAGCTAAGATTGTTGTTTGATAAGGTGACGTAACTTTGTTTGTCACTGGCAGTCATGCGGCCCCTCTCCCGTGCAGGTGTTCCTCAGGGATCTGGAATGGGGACGTCAACAGCAGCAGAGCCTCTGGAAAAAGCTTCATTTCCGAAGGGTGGAGAAAGGCATCCGTCAAACGCTACGCATGTTTGAGAAAGACACGCCGCCACCATCTGCATGAGCCAATAAGTAACTGGAATACAGCCAGTCAGTCATTTTTTTAAGTCATCACTATAGGTGGAGTCCTCCAGATGGGCGTGAGAGTGTGTCATCACTATTTAGTAATCACACACACACACACACACACACACACGCACACACACCTGGAAGACTACAAAAACTTACTGAGCAAAATGTGTGTGGGGGAAAAAACAACAACAGACATTTACTCTATCACTGTTCAAAAGATGGAAGAGCAAAGGAAAATATTCCTGAAAATCCTTCTCATTGGTTGGTTGAATCATTGACTTAAGGTCCATGATGGCAAATGATTTTGTCTTTTCGTTAAGAGTTCCTTAACATGCATGAACGCATTTAAAAAGGCTTCCTTTCCAGAAGTGGATTTGATCAATGATTTGCCGTTCCAACCTTTACCACAGATCAAAAAAAAAAATAATTACGCTGAATGTGTTGGTCATGTGACAGCTGCAGGAAGCCGGCTATGACATTGAGGAAGTGAAACATACGGTAACGCAGAAACAAACAAACAAATAAAAGGATTTATATAGTATGGAGTCAGGAGTCGCATGGTCCAGTATTAAAGATTAGATCAACATATTGAGAAAGCGATTTTGCTTTCAGCTGTTCTTCACTGCAGATATAAAGACAAGATCAAACACATATAGCACTTCCTGGATGCTGAAATAAATCATTTTGAAGTGAAAATAGACATCAGGATTGTTGTGTCACTAAGATAATGTTTGGTGCTCAAAACAGAAGCAAGATAGTTTTCCAAAGTACATTCTGTTAATAAATAATTTTTAAACTTGTAAGGAGGCGTCATTGTGTGGATTAGCCATCACATAGAAAGAATGTTTCCCCTGTCCGTCGGTATTTTGGAGGACCATTGCAGATGGTCATTATTGTTTTGGGGCCACAAGTTTGTTTTTAATTTGTTGATTTTAGGGTTTTTTTTTTCTTTCTTTGTGTGTGTGTGCATGAATGCGTATATGAGAGAGAGAGAGAGAGAGAGAGACTACATTTTTTTGTGTTTATGTACTGCCAACAAGAGAGAGAGAGAGAGAGAGAGAGAGAGAGACTATATTTTTTGTGTTTATGTACTGCCAACGTATTTCTGACACATATATTTGTACTTGAAAAAGATTGCTTAACAATGGTGCAATGCCATCTTATTTATTTGCATTTAATTTTTTTATGATATGATATGTCGTCTAATAACAATGTTGTGAAGTGTGACTGACCTCTGCTCTCTTCGGAAAAACAAACAATAATTGTCTGTAGAATTTCAATTTCCACCATTTACGAGAAATCTTATGCCATGAAGAATTTTGCCTTTGATTTTGTAAGACTCTCACGCATATATTTGAATCTGTCGAACTGTTCATCTTCAATAAAGACTTTTTTTTTTCTTTTGCTTGCCATCGCTTTCTCAATTGAATCAGTATTGAATGCAAAATAGATAAATCATAACCACATGGCAGAATGCGGAAGCTTTCAGTCAACCCCCAAATTTACTTTCCAAGAAAATGTTCAATGCAGCCCCACTAAACTTAACGTGGTATTCGGATTAATATTGCGCATGTGGAATATGAGTGAAGCAGAAAAATCTCCCTGTTTTTGTCCATCTCAAGGGACAGCCATTTTGGGTTGACTTCCCCTTTAATGCGGAGTTGCCACAGGGTTGAAGTCAGGGCTGTGTGGGTTCACGTCTAATTCTTCCGCACTGGAACCGACCATCCCTTTGTCGCCTTCCTTAATGAACACTGGAGAAAGTCATATTTTGTCATGTGTGATGCTAAATTCATTTCTTTTCATGTACTCCGCCCTCAGCATGCAAAAAGCATTTGTGTTGTATGCGTATGTGCACACTCCAAATGGTTTCAATTCTACTTTTCTGTTTTCACTGCACCACAATAGATGTTTTTGGTATCACTGTCATACATCCAAAAATACTGGGTTGGTTTTCCAATCCATTTTCTGGGTAGCTGTAGATTTGGGGCAGATTAGGTTAATTTTATTTAAATATCTTTATTATTTTGACCCCATGAGTCTTGCGAGAACTGTTTTCAGAATTTCTGATTATGTTTACTCTCGTTAGGAGATCAAAAATGAGACGTCGTCGTGTTGCCTGTTTCACACTAACTCTGAGCATACATCGCTCTGAGTTGTTTAAACCACCCAGTGAGTAAATATTTAAACATGGTTGTTTGGAAAGGAGCCTCCAAGTGGCTTGCTGATAACGTTTTTTTTTTATTATCCCTTAACTCCAAAGCTGGTCTCTCAACTGCTCTTTAGTCTGAGGCGATAGAGAGGTGGGAACACCATGAGGCCGAGATCAGGTAAGCTCCCCTTCCTCTTTCACTGTTTTTTTTTTCCTGAACAAAGCACTTACCACTATTTCACCTGAAAGCTGCTTTGCGTGAAAAAGAAGTCTGTGACAAGCATGGCTGTAGTATGTTTAGTTTGTGCTGTCGATCGTGTCTTCGCAACACGGCAAGATCTGTTTTTTTGATCATTGGAGGAAAGAGTTAAGAAATAGTTTAAGGGGTTTGCTGTGTGTGAAAAGTTACCATCGTACATATGAGCAAAAACTGAACAGAAGTCGACTAAGTAATTGTGTTCCAGAGTGATCAGCTCAATTTGATTTATACAGTACAGCAGCAAATTGCAACAAAATAATCTCAAGGCACTTTACAAATAGAGCAGGGTCAGGAAAATGCTCTGTTTAAATGAATCTAAACCGAAATAAATCAGTATCCCTTTACAGGAAGAGTAGGTTTTTTTTGTTGTTTTCTTAGGGATTATGAATTATTTTTCTATGATTGTACTTCTTAATCAGATGATATGTGGCGTATCGTAAAACCACTTCATCTCTACTTGTTTTGCCAATTTGCTCTATGGAGCTAGTTTATTTGCACTTTAAAATATGGGTCGATTGTGTTCAATGTCGATGGACTCTGCTTATGGTGACTACAGGATCAGAACTTTAACATAAAAGATTTTATGAAACAATAACAACCTATTTACAGCGTGAGGAAGGAATTAAGCCTGGTGGTAAATTGGTTTCAATTAAACTGACTGAAGCTGTGGGCAAGAGTGTACAGTTGCCTCTGGTTTTAATGCACACCATTTAAAATTGTTTCAAAATACATTTTGAGCTGGTCCACATGATACTTTTTACTATGGTTCTGTGTACTCCTTAGGCTGCCAGGATGTGACTGAGCTTCCACGGTGAGTAAATCCTTCGCGTTTCTTTCTTAGTGGCAGAATTCAGTTTAAAGTCGAGAGGTCAAAGCGAGGGGAATGCACGGTAAGGTTGTGCCCAAGAGCGGTTAGGGTTAGGACGAGATCAGTTATTATAATGATTATAATGATTACTTTTCTGACCCTGCTTCAGAGTGGCACAGTCTTTTATTTGATCAGAATCAGATCAGAATCGGATTTATTGGTCAAGTACAGAATGCAAACCCCCCCCCCCAAAAAAAAACAACAACAAAAACACAAGGAATTTACTTCCCAGTTACAACCCGTCCAGAGGAACATAAACAAGACAGCAATAACCAACATGGGGGAGACAGCACGAGAAGCCTGGCTGGTCACTGTTAAGCGCCCTGAGATCTTAGATGTGAAAAGAAAACAGTTGGAAAGGGGAAGGGAAAAAAAACCCCGATAGACTCCAATCATTCTCCTTAAATGGGAAGATGGTTTGAGCCAGAGAAAAAAAACTCAGCACATGTAGCGTACATTTAAAAAGTTAGGACAACAATTCTTGAAACTTAACGTAATGAACAGTGTGGGGGGGGGGGGGGGGGGGCGGGGCACAACTTGGGAAGGCTGCTAAAGTCTCTCTAGCTCTGCCCTGTGGGAGAGGCGGGGTGAATAGGAATCCGACGTTAACATTGCACCTGTAGCTGCAAGGCCGAGACCTTATCAGTCACAGGCTCGGAGAGTAGTGTAGGGAAAGGGAAATTGGAATACTCGCGTCCGTGTGTTTTTCCATCCACGGGAAAGTCCAAATAACAATTGTTTTGGGAACAGGCCGTCTACAATTTCAGATAGCGTTGAATGTCTTTTCGCATGTGACTCTGTGTGGCGTCTATCTGCCAAATTCTTCAGTCAATCAATTTTCCAGGTCGGTACAACTACTCCCGGTTTTTCCATTTTGCGAAGCGACTCCAACACATCCACTTTGCGGTCCAGTTCGGTCAACGCATGAGTCTTGAGTTTTGATCACCCGGCGCGCACCCTCCATGTAGGCCGTCCATTTATTCCCTTCCAATGAAGCTGCTCCTGCCAGCTGAATTTTGCGGGAGATCAGAAAACTGCTAATACCAAACAGCAGGATACCTGTTATCAAAAGGCCAATAATGGAGATGTCTTCCAAATCTTCTATGGACAATATTGTCAGGGACCATTCTCCACTTCTGCCAAGGATCTAAAGTGTATCCAGCAACAAATTTCCCAGAGGGGCAAGAAGGCTCCCCACCGCCTGCTCTTTTCGTCGAAAAAAATGTATCCATAGTTCTGAGAGTCTAGCTGACTAATTCCATGGTTTGTCTTTTCGGAAGAAAAAAATACGGAGGCTATATCAAGACAGAAGACAGCACATTAGACAAAGTCAGCAAAGCAGAGGAGTAAAGAGGAGGGGGTAGCAGAGCAAAACGCGTCCGCCTTCACTGAGAGCCAGAGCTTTCTTTTGGGCTTAATCCTGTTTAGGGGTCATCACAGAGGGTCATCATCCTCTTCCATTCCTCCCTGGCCTCTGCATCTTCTGCACTCACTCCAGCTATATTAATCGAAAGTCTTCCCTCACAACATGCAAAAATCTCTTTGATGTGCCTCTTATCTAGCAGCTGAATTTCCAGCATCCTTCTGTCAAAAGAGCCGCTGTCCCTCCTCCGCACATGACTAAACCATCTCAGTCTTGCCCATATTCTCTGCTCTGTGCTTAAGATCAGGTATCAAAAAATATTAAAAAAAAAAAAAAAAAAACATCCTGTACTGGCAGCACTACAGTACTTGCAAATACTTCTTTAATTGGTGGTAAAACGTTTTAGCCCATGTCTTATTGCATGTCACTACAGACTACAGTGGATTTCTTTGCAGGGGAAATACACATATACAGTACCATCGTTTCTCACAATATTCTTCGGCGCTTGATAACATTTCGTCCGTCTACCAGTCCACTATCTATAGCTTTTGTAGTTTTTAAAAATTCTTTTGCGATTGTGCTATGCGGTTGCCGAAAGTGCGCTTTTCATTGGTCAATACATATATCGCCGTCTTAGCTACATCTCTGATTGGCGAGGCTTCATAATTAATAATAATAAAGAACAGAGATGGGCACTTTATCCTATTTTGCCGGTCTGTGCTCTGTCCGTGACCCGGGTACCCCAGAAAACTGCTAATACCAAACAGCAGGATACCTGTTATCAAAAGGCCAATAATGGAGATGTCTTCCAAATCTTCTATGGACAATATTGTCAGGGACCATTCTCCACTTCTGCCAAGGATCTAAAGTGTATCCAGCAACA